CCATCCTGCAACTGCAAAGAAAGCGCAGGTCCAAATGACATGTTCTTAAAGGTGCATATGTGGTAAAAAACTTGAGAAGTGAAAGAGTTGAGAATGATCATCTGGTTCCTGTTCTGTTTCACATACTGCGTGGACTTGTTTGCTTGCTGATTAGACTTTAAGCGTATATGGTATTAATTAGGACATAATTAATATTGATGACCTATCAAGCCATCCAGGTGGGCATCACTAATATTGAAGGTATGCCTTTTGATCCCTAATTATTCAGATCTCTCATTATCCAGCTTTTGTTGAAAATGTAGTTTGCTCTGTTTATCACAGAGCCACATTTTCATTCCTGGTCAAATTAGTTTGAGTAAAAATCCTCCAAGAAGAGACGGCACTTGCAGTTAGTGTGAGAGGGTAGAAAGCAGCTTGCAGCAGGGAGAATGGGTTGCTGGCAGAAGGGAGGAGGCCAGGGTGGACTTGGCAGTAACAGCACTCATGTGGAAGCCCAGCCCCCTCCCAGGCCAACATCACATACTTGACATGCATGGCCTCACTTAATCCTCATCACAGCCTGGTATGTTTGGGGAAGTGACATCAGGCCTATTTACATATAAAAAATAACGTATGGGAGGCCACACAGCTCGTAAGGGGTGGAGTTGGGCCCAGTCTGCTTTGTCCCGGAAATCATAACTTTGGGTGTTGGGTAGGATGAACTGGTTTGGATGGGATGAGCTTCAGGAAGATAGAGAGCAGGGCCCTGGGTTCTCTACACATCACCGTTGTCTCCTTCCTCCCTCTCATCATCCACTTTTGTTCTCTCAACTTCTTTTCTTTTTTCCATTTTTCTCCATCCATTTGGGTTGAAAAATGTTTTTGTTATTTGCTTTATTGGCTTAAAGGAGATTTTTGCTTCAGTTTAAATTGAATTGGATATTTTATATTTATCTGAAGACAGCTGTAAATAGCCCTTATTTTAAGTTATTTAACTGAACTTTTTCTTCTGGGTCCAGAGTCCTCAATAGAAAAACAAAAACCAAAGACAATCAAACAAAAAACCTCCTTATCAAAAAAATGGTCATCTATATCAATCAGTAGTTAGAACCTGTGACTGATAGCTGTACGTGCCTGTGCTGCCTTTCCGTCACCAGGGGTCAGCAGATAGCCCTGGAGAGAGTTATCAAGCTGACCAAGTTCCCAAACAACACCCTGACTTGCCAAGCGCAGGAAAGTCTTCCTGATTAGTAGGCAATGGGGTTTCAAGCTCTTACTTGGAGACAATTTCAGCTGTTGTTTAGAAGACATTTTATCCAAAGAAATCAAAGGTCATTCTGATATATAAAGTAACTAAAGAACCTTTGACAGCATCTACTGTTTTTAAGCCAGTCTGGCTTCTAATTAAGACCATTATTTTTTAAATTATGTTAAGCTCCAAAGGACTGTTTTAAAATGGTTTTACAGTTTAATGTTTGTGATTCCTGCTCTAAGAGGAAGAGAGGGCTGTGGGATGGAGTCAATTCACAACTGGAGGAGGAGGGCCTCAGCTGGCACTCAGCATGGAGCAGGGAGGAGGTAAGAACTTCTGCAGCTTGGAGGGGAGGAGCCTCAGACATTAGCACTGCTTCCTCAAATCATAATCATTTGGGGAATTAGTTACCCTGAACAGACAAAGTTCACATCATGCTAATAAACGTATACTTGATTAGCTATTCAATGCTTATTTGGAAAAATGAATCTCAGCCAGATGTGATTTTGTCCCTAGGACACATTTGTCAGTGAGGAAGACACTTAACAGTTGCAGATAGAGAGAAGTTATTTGCATCTAACAGGTAGAGGCCAGGAATACTGCTAAATACCTCACCTGCACATGGCAGATCCCAGCCTCAATTTTCTGACTCAAATGAAGAAATCTGACATAAAGCCAGGTATGGTGGTGAACACTTATGAACCCAGCACTTAGGATACTGAGACAGGAGGATCACCTTGAGTTTGGGACCCAGTCTAGGCTATACAATGAGGTCAAAGAAGCCAGTCTAGAATTTGCATCATAAGACCTGTCTCGGAAAAACAAAAGTAAATAAATAAATAAAACCTCGATGTAGAGGAACATAGAATAACTTAGATACCCAGTTCTGAGTTCTAGAACTTCCAATTAGAGCACTCATTTTGACGTTTCCCTGTACCAAACACCGGGGTTTCCCTGGACTAATTCACTTAATTCCCACAACAACCCCAGCTTCTTTCTTTGATTTTACAAATTAAACAGATTCTTATAGAAGTTAGAAACAATGCCCAGGATCATTGAGCTTGAAACTGGTGTAGCTACACTTGAAACCCAGGAAGCAAGATCAGACTCTTACAGTTTAGTATTAGGGAAACTATCTTTCACATAGGAATCAATAAATGATCCCAGTCCATGGCTTCAAGGCAACAGAGGCCTCTGGGGACAGCCATCCTCGGGGACCTTCTCAGAGCTAGTCACTTTACAGTCCACAAATGCATCCAGACTTCTCATTGTTAGTCACTGATCATGAGGATGGGCCTACATGCCACTGAGCAGAGGCTCTTCCCTGACTGAATGAGTGGGATGGACAGAGCAAGATCCGCTGGCTCACCTTTGAGGATCATGGCCTCTTGTTCTAACCTCATGGTGTAGAATGGACCCAGCCTAGCTACTAAACATTCACATTTGCAAACATTGACTGATGACCCCACCAGGACCAGGAGGTCACAGTGCTTTTCGCGTCCATGATAAAGCATAGGAACTGAGAATCAACCAGTCAACTAATGTGGCTGTTGCTTGCCCTAGGCAGCATCCTGGGACCCAGAAGACAAGGAAGAGAAAATATTAAGCCAAAAAGAGGGTACAGAGTTCAAGGTTTTCAGTGTATTTGGTAAGGAGGAGAAAACACAGGCTGATAGGAGAGAATACTTTAGGGAAAACAAACAGGATGGAACAGTGTGGTTTGTGTGGCTACAAAGGAACCCAGAGAACTGGCCATTCTTCAAAGCAAACAACTTCTCTGTTTCACAGGAACACCAGGCCTGGGATAGCTTAAATGATAATCAAGGCAAACTTCAATATAGGATATGAGAGCTATAAGAAAAATCATCTTGCCCAACTTGCTCACCACTGTGTTCACATACAGTTCTATATCATGAAAGGGAAAGAGTGATCCATGCACGAAGAATGAATGAGTAAGCAGGAGGGTGGTCAGAGAGAAGGCTGGGATTGCCTCAGGGATGGAGTGAACCTGAGTGCCAGAACTTGTCATTTATATATGGATGGAGATAATAGGGAAGCTGGTTTTAAAACTGTAAGACTTAGTAAACACTTGACTATGAAAGTGGACATGGTGGGCTCCTGAACTTGCATGATCTGTTGCTTACATGGTATGGTCTGCAGGTAAAAGAACAAGGTGGTGGGAGGAGGGGAGAACCAGGGGGTAGTGAACAGAAGGTCAAGGGTGAGCATGCTGACTCTCCTTCCTTCCCTCCTGTCCCAATTCTGGCTGCACAGGAAATTTCCAATGGCAAAGGGATTAGTTGTTCCCCTGTGAATTGCAGCAGGTATTTAAATACTTACTGAATATTCAACATTCATAAACTGTAAAAATGGAACTGGCCTGAAGAGTACTCAGAATACTTTTTCTTTTGTGTCATATATAATGTATATGACCTCACATAATCCAGACTTGGCTAAACTTCTTGTGCTGCCAAGGGTGACCTTGAAACCCTTATCCTCCTGCCTCTATCCCCTAAGTGCTGGGATTACGGGTATGTGCCACCACATCTGGCAACATAACACTTTTTAAAATAAAACAGTGGAATATGGAGGCCCAAAGCATGAAAAAGACCTGTCTTGGGCTCTGGGGTAGGAGAATCAGAGCTTTGTCATGGGCCATCCTGCTAATGATTTCTAAGTAGGCAGTGGAAAAGAGGCAGGTGGCAGCAGCTAGCTGGGCCCTTTATCCTGAAAATGAACCTATGGATCTGCTCCCAGTTCTAGATGGTAAAATATATCAAACAAATGGCAGAGTGTGGCTTATCAGATTCACATTACAGAAAGCAGTAGTAAGAAATTACACTTGGCAGAGACAGCAGAATCTGGACCCCTAGCCCCGTGCTCTGCTGCCCTACTTGGCCCTACATAAAACACACTGGTAATTACTGTGTCCTATTCTATTTTAGAAGGGCATTTTACAAGCATGTGTTACTCAGTCAAGATGTGAGTAGATCTTATTTTTTGGTTTGTGTGTGTGTGTGTGTGTGTGTTGCCTACATGTATGTAAGTGTACCCCATGTGTACAATGCCCATGGGGGCCAGAAGAGGGGATCAGATCCCCTGGAAGTGGAGTTACAGATGTCTGTCAGTTGTTGTGTAGGTGTTGGGAACTGAACCTAGGTCCTTTCCAAGAGCTTTGTCTATATCTGATTTTCACTTTATCAAAAAGAGCATTTACTTATTTGTGTGTGTGTGTGTGTGTGTGTGTGTGTGTGTGTGTGTGTGTGTGTGTGTGCGTATGTGTGTTTGGGAGGTATGGGCACTCCTGTGCCACAAATGTGCATGTGGAAGTCAGAGGACAATTTGCAGGAGTCAGTTCTCTCTTTCTACCATGTGGTTATAGGGACTGAACCAGGTAGTCAGGCTTGCCTACAAGCACCTTTACTTACTGTTATTTATAACTGATGCTTGAAAATACATCATTGTAAAATATATACACTAAATAATCTTAGTCAAGGGCTGGGAATGTAGCATAGTGATAGAGTGCATGCTTAGCATGTACAAGGCCCTGGGTTTAATCCCCAGCACCATACACACACACACACACACACACACACACACACACACACACACACAATGAACTAAGGACTGGGGATCTAGCTCAGTGGTAGAGTGCTTGCTTGTGTACACTGGCCTGAGTTCAAGCTCCAGCATGTGAAAATAAAAACATATCTGTATCTGTATATAGGTATATATCTCCCTGATATTAATAGCCCCATGCCACTCTTACCTTGGAAGAATCAGAATTGTCAGAAGAATAAACCCCATAAATTTTAAGGACTTCCTCAATTGGGATACTGTTCTGTGAAACAACAAAACAATGTATCGTCATATTGTGACTTTTATTATAAAACAAAGTTATTATGTCTTCAGTTGGTATAGTTCTGTGTGAGGTAGCTAGGAACTAAAAAGATAATTTCTAAATAAATAGATGTTTATCTATTAGTTTTATGGGCAATAATTGGCTATGCCTCTCTTTTTTTCTTTTTTCTTTTTGGTGTCTTCTAAAAATATTTTGCAATATAGCATAGAAGTAAAGATTTTTTTATTATCTCTTTAAAATAAAATATTTTACTATTAGTAAATCATAAACATTTAGAAGCATCATTGAAAAATATAAATATGCATTATGTTAAATGAGCACAGGAGATATGCAATCCATATATGTAAACTGTTTTTTTCCTTACCATTAAGACCCCAGCATAAGATGATAAGATCATTGCTTCTCGTTCTCTTCGGTTTAGATACATGGATCTGCCATGAAGTGGCATTTTCCTAAGGGGAAATATGGATGGAGAAGAGTGAGCTATGTATGTGTGGGTGGAAGGGTACATGTGTATGGAGACCCAAGGTCAACCTCAGGTGCTGTTCCCTAGGAGCCATCCACCTTATTTTTTGAGGCAGGGTCTCTCACAGGGACTTGGGCTCATCCACTGGCTGGCTAGTGAACCCCTGGGGTCCTCCTCTCTCTGCCTCCTCAGTGTTGGGATTACACATGCATGCCATCGAGCTGCCTGGCTTTTTACATAGGTGTTGCGATCAGCTCAGATCCTCTCTTTGCACAGCAAGCACTTCGCCAATGGAGCTGTCTCCCAATCCCTGTTCTTGTTCTTTTTGACACCTGCTAAGGTTGTGATACTAATCCATAAGTCATCTGCAACAGCTGGGTGCCATCCACACTTTTATAGGATTGATGTGACTGGTTCTCTGTCAGCAAAGTACACACTTAGAATTTTCAGTCTTCCGGTAACAGTGACGAATCTGTTATCTGTTTTCAGGGACTATCGTACAGGTGTAGACTGGCCACTGTGATGGGTAGCTATGGTTTTTCGAGCCAGGAACCTTTCCCTGTCTCACAATTTGTTTGGGGGCGGGCTGCCTACTATAAGCTTGCATACTTCCAGGGAAGCTTCCTTTCCAGGGAAGCTGAAAACACCCTTAGATTCCAAGAACGGGGATCCCTGGTGCATTCCACGTCCAGACATGTCAAGAACAGAGACACTGAGAGACACTCCATGTTTGCTTACCATTTGTTTAAATCCTTCCTGCTTTGGACTGACTGTTCTAATGAAGAGAGCTGAAATCATTAGTGTTCCCATACAAACACAAGAGGTAGATCCTTGTAGCAACAGATGAAGTGGAGTGAATTATATTTATTTATTTATTTATTTATTTATTTATTTATTTATTGTGTGGGTATGTATGTATGTTGGGGGGGTGCACGTGCCATGGCAAGTGTGGGGCCATCAGAAGACAACTTGCAAAAGTCGGTTCTCTTGTTCTACCATGTAAGTCCTGGTGATCAAACTCAGGTTGTCAAACTCATGGACAAACACCTTTGCCTGCTGAGCCATCTTTTCGACATGAGTTTTGAAGTAGTGTGCCCAACAGGCCAATTCACAAACTTTCCAGGTACAGAGGCGATCAAATCTGCCTCCTCCTGACTCTTCTCCCTTTCTCTTGTTCTAGCTCTCACTTCCCCTGACCCCCAGCTTTACTCTTTCCTTAAGTTTGTTAAAACTGGATTTTCTGCTTATTACAGTCCGTTCCTAACTACTACACTAAGCCAGGACCACATGCAGTCCACGGCCATGGAACAGGGAGGCTATCTGGACTTTGAAATGAGCTGTTCGATCTTGGCCTCATAGGTCCCTGCTTTGACCAATTGATTGAGTCTGCCCAGTCACTACACACAGCAGAAAACGCTGACAATCCTAGAAAGGAAATGACCCTCGACTCTGGTACGTATCTGCTTACATTCTTCAGCAACTGTGTGTGCTAGACACTGGAAACAATTACAGTGCTTACTGACAGAACTGACCATTTGGGAATAACAGGTTGCATACAATACAGCAGAGTCATGCTTCACAGGAGCATTCTATGCAAGAGATTTCTTTTTTTTTATCCTGACAGAAACCAATTAGTAGAAATGCAAAATATGTAAACACAGCTATGACTTCCTCAAGCTGCAGCTGTGGGCTGTCTTCAGGTTTCTGGCTGGAGAAGGAACTTTGGTCTTTCTTTTTCAAAATATTTTATTTATTATTTTATGTGTATGAGTGTATTGCCTGCGTGTATATAAATGCGCCCATGTTGTGCAATGCCCGAGGAGGCCAGAAGAGGGCGTTGGATCCCCTGAACTGGGGTTATGGATGGTTGCTAACCACTATGTGGGTGCTGGGAATTGAACCTGGGTCCTCTGGAAAAGCAGTCAGTGCTCTTAACTGTTGAGCCATCTCTCCAGACCCTGTGCTTTCTTTTTAGAGTGCCTCATAGGAAGATGCCAGATAGGGCTGGAACTTCCCCCATAATTAGAAACACATGTTAAAAAGAAAAACCTCAGGGGTTGAGGAGATGGCTCAGTAGGTAAAGCACTTGCCTTGTGTAAGCATGAGGATCTGAGTCTGGACCCCCAGCACCCATGAAAAGCTGGGCATGGTGGCAAAGGCTGCAGTCTTAGTGCTGGGGTGTACAGGAGGAGGCCTTGAGCTTGCTGGCCAGGAAGACTTGTTGAATCAGTGAGCTCCAGTTCAGTGAGAGAGAGCAAGAGAGAGGCCAACACTGACCTCTGGCCTCTATACACATGTGCTCACACTCCCCCCTCAACACATGCATACACATAGGAACATGCACATACACATATACCTCCCTCCACATGAAATAAATAAATAGAAAGAAAATCAGAATCAAAATTTCCACTTACATTTCCTCCCACTTGAGCCAAGTCAAATCTTGGGAGTGATCCAGCCATTGCCAAGCAACGCTGATGGCCAAGTCATAGTGGGCCTGAAAGCAGAGAGCAGTGGGTGAAGGGGATGGGCTGAGACCATGGGAAAGCACTCCCTGGACCCAGCGATGATGGCACTGCTAAGCCCGTCCTTCTCTATCATGTTTAAATTGGAAGGGATCTTATCTATGGTTAATAACCCAATGAGCAGCCAGAAATGCTTTAGATCTTCAAGCATTATATAATTATTCCCTCTAGGGACTGAACCAAACTGAAATGTCAACCTAAATAATAAATAAGGGGGTTGGGCTATGCGTACTTGTTGAAACCTCATCTGGAGTTTGATGCTGGGAGCAGCTACTCTGGCATCACCTGCATAGTCACTAGAAATATAAGTTCCCAGCCCCGCCTGTGACCTCCGGAATCAAAACAGCTCTGTAATAATACCTCATTAAAGTTTGAGAGGCACAGCTCTATCTATATAACTTCCCTGTGTAATGTGTGCTTAACAACAGACTTAGCTCCAGGGAGCCCTGGCTTTACTCTGATGGGGGACGAAACAGATCCTTTTCTTCCTTCTTGGTACAAGGAGAGCACATGGGCAGGAGGGAAAACGGAGTGTACTGCTTTCTTTTGGACTAAATAGTTCTGTGATTTCTTTTCTAATTTCTCTGATACAAGCTAGCAGAAATTAACACGAGCCTGAGTTTTAATATGAATAACACAAAGGATTTTAGGATTATGCATTGCCTTTTCCTCCACTAAAGCAAATGATAAATGATTATAATTAAAAACTGCATAATTGATAATTTTGTCAGTTTTTAACATCATGAATGTAACATTTTACCTTGCAGTCATTTGTTTCTTAATTTTTCTCCCCTACTTCACTTTCTCATTCTCTTTTTGTTTTCTGTGTAGTGGGTAGAGATGATCAATACAGACAACCTTAGGATAAGGAAAAAGGTAAGGAAGAGCACTGTGTGTGTGTGTGTGTGTGTGTGTGTGTGTGTGTGTGTGGTGTGGTGTGAATACTAGTCTGGCTTACATGTAAATTTGGTCTTTGCTCTGTCCCCTTCTTACATACAGAACACAAATGAGAGTCGCACCAGCACAGCTTTCTTTACCATATCATCTAGAAAGGTGAGTTGCCTTCTTCCTTTTGGGTCAAATTCATTTTCCCGAAGTCTGATGCCGATATAATCTGCCCTTAAAAGCAAGAGAGCAGCATTGAACCATTGTGGGAGACACAGGGCTCCATCTGTAGAAAGAGGCTTTCTTTCCAACTCTCCCTCCAAAACCAAAATACAATGTCAGTCACTGATGGTCTGGTAGTTGAGTTAATATTCAGTTTTGGTTTGCACAGCAATCCTGCAGTGCTGCAGATTTTAAATGCCTAACCATGATGAATTTAGATCACATTTGTCTTGAAACTGAACTCATTATTTGGATCATATACAGGAAAGCAGGAAAGATACCAAATACCCACACAGAATAGATTTTCTGCAAGACTAAGGCTATAAGAACTACTGTTTAAAATATAAAGATTTCCTTGCTGCCCGTGATAAATCCAGATATGAAAAATACTATAGAGATACGTTCTTTTACCTCATGTCCTTTTCTCCTTAGAGTGCAGCTACTTATAGTTGTTATGCCTGAAAATGTGTTAGCAATTCCATTTTAGTCTATCCTTATCAGAACTTTTAATAAGGGGAGTTGGGTTAAGCACTCTGGAAGGAGACTGGGAAGTTGTGCCATCCAGGGAATTCCAGAGACTCTGGACTCTCCAAGGTTGATCTTGGCAAATCTGGTAAGGCCAGTTCTGCCTCTCTGTTTCCCACACTAGGACACTCTGGGCTAGTTACTGTGTAGAAGATGAGTTTGGTTTTGGTTTCTAAAAATTTCTTTTTAAGTTATTAAGATTTTCTAGATTGATAACAATTCTTGAAATTTTTGCTGTGATATTCCATGATAAGTTAAGGTAGTCTAAATGAATTCTTTAGATATAAATCTATTCTGTTAGTTTTGAAATTCCATTTCTTTGGATGACATATATGGAGGAGTTGGGTATTCTTAATTACAGTTTGTTCTTAGTTATTATCTTGGCCTCCAAACATGTGTGCCTTTAAACATGTATGAACTCATACATGGTTTGATCCAGACTTTCTTAAGGACTTAGTAAAGGATGATAGTCACCTTCATAGGCAGACAAAAGACATTTGATGGGGGTCTGTGATAAGGTCTTTGATAAAAAAAAGGAGTTATTGTTTTGCCAATAATATTAAATTTCATATGAAATAGAATGCAGGCTCTTTCTCCCATTTTATATGGTCTATGAATTTTCATCAACATTTGTTAAGTACCAGATTGAAGAAAGCTGTATAGGAGGAGGAAGATTCATGGGAAATTTGATGCTTTCTTTATTAGTTAAAAAAGTTCAGATGCCAGCTGGGCATGGTGGCACAGGTCTTTCTAAATTTTTTAATAGAATTTTTTGTGACTTTCATACAGTAAAATTTGGTGGCACACATCTTTAATCTCAGCACTCAGAAGGCAGAGGCAGGTGGATCTCCTTGAGTTCAAGACCAGCCTGATCTACAGAGTGAGTTGCAGGCTAGCCAGGGCTACATAGTAAAACCCTACAACGACAACAATAAAAATGTCAGATATCAAGAAGGGGGAGATCAATTATTTGGTTGATAAAGTTGGTAATAAAAGAGGCAGAAGCTGTGATTTAAATGCTGGGTCCTTCCTAGGAATTTCTCTATCTTTTACCTGTAAGGGCAGCCCCTTTCTATGATGCATCCCATCTCCACAGGCTGCCAGTGCTGTAGAGGTGCTTTGCACATGCATGCTGCTGCAGAAGCATCCTCTCAAGAGATTCTGCATCCTTCTCTGCACCACATGTAAGCCCTCCCTGGCAGGAGACAGAGGCCAGAGCATCTTTCAGCTTTCTCCTGTACTTCAGGAAAAGATCCTTCCTAGGCTTTTGCCCACCTGCCAACATCCAGACCGTCCATGACAACCTGCCAGATACAAATGTCGTAAATAAAAATCGTTCTCAGCAGTACTCACAGCAGCCTTTTCACCTCCTTCTTTATGAGCCTTCTTTCCATGACGGTAGACTTATGTAACTGAGCAGGTATTGGCAGCCTGCACTGCACCAGAGATCCTTTAGGAAGACCCAACCTCTGCAAGCCTAGAAAGTACAGCAGCAAATCAGCAAGAATTTGAATTAGGGATGATGTTGCTACAAATACCAGTCATGGAGTCTGAGGCTGTGGAAGGGATCCAAGACTGCACAGAATTCAGGCCGCTTACCCCGGAGGTTACAAGTGAGAAAGTGATCTGGAAATTAGTGCACTGTGCTTTGTGTCTATCTGACAGCTTTTATTTAAGTTTTCCTTTTAAAAAATTGATAGTGTGTGTGTGTGTGTGTGTAGGTCAGAGGACAACTCCTAGGAATCATTTCTTTCCTACCACTATATGGGATTCGGGAACTGAACTCAGGTATGATATGTATATGTGCTTTTATCTGCTGAGCCATTCGCCTGGCCCTCTTTCAAGTTTTTCTCACACTTACCATAAACTCATTTTTACTATAATCTAGCATGTGAAACAGAAATGATTCATGTAATATTTGACAAGGCTATTTGGGCAGAACGACCCAAACACAATAGACTCATGATATGAATATGTTGGGGTTTCCTGTGTATAGTTGACATAGTGACTTCTGGTGTGTTCACCCTGGATTGATGGTTCATGATGGGATTCACTGTGACCTCTGATAGCTTGGAGGTCTTTGACAGTCCATATGATAGTGACAAATGTGTCTTCAGTGTTCACCCTGAACCCTGACTTTGGACCAGAAATTGAAGAACAGGTAAGGGGCTCAAAAGAGGTCTGAAGTCACAAAAATGAAGTTTATGAAAAAGTCATCACTACTGAATGGGGGCATTCATCATGAGTTATGAAAAGGAATCTATTCTATCAGCAATGTTTGTATTTATTTTAAAAGAGGTTCAATTCCCAGCACCTACATGGTGGCTATGAACCATCCTTAACTCCAATTCCAGGGGAATCTGAAGCCCTCTTCTGACCTCTGCAACATTGCATGGCATGGGTGCACTCACATACATGCAGGCAATATACTCATACACATAAAATAAAAATAATAAATAAAATATTTTTTAAAAAAGACTCAGGGCTGGAGAGATTGCTCATCAGTTAAGAGCACTGGCTGCTCTTGCAGAGGACCTGGGCTGGTTCCCAGAACCCACACGGAGCCTAACAATTGTCAGTAACTCTAGCTCCACGAATCTGACACCCTTTTCTGACCTCCACAGGCATTGCACAACATGGGTGCACTTACATGCAAGCAATACACTTATCTACATAAAAAATTTTTTAAATAATAAAATTTTTTAAAAAGATATTCTTATTCTGGGATGGAGAGATGGCTCAGTGTTTAAGAGTGCTGGCTGCTCTTGCAGAGGACCCAGGTTTGAGTCCTAGTACCCACATGGTGGCTAATACCCATCCATAACTCCAGCTCCAGGGGAATACAATGCCCTCTTCTGAGCTCTGTGAACATTGCACTATGCAAGTGAACCTACATACATGCAGGCAATACACTCATACACAAAAATAAAAATAATAAAATATTTTTAAAAGAGATAAGAATCACATTGTTATGGTTAGTTTTATGTGTTATCATGGCTAGATTGCTGTGATCAGATATTTTGTCAAATATTATTCTGGGTGTTTCTGTGAAAGTGTTTTCTGAATGATATAAAAGTTTAAATTGATGGACTTTGAAGTAAAATAGATTGCTCTCCATAGTATGAATGGGCCTTGTCTAACTAGTTGAAAGCCTTGAATGAACAAAGGTTGACTTCTCCTAGCAAGGAGGAACTCTGCCAGCAAACAGCTTTTAGACTCTAACTATAATTCTTTCTGGGGTCTCTAGAGGGCTAATCACCCCCATTAGATTGCAGACTGACCAAGCCTCTGCAATCATGTGAACTGATTTCTTTTTTAAAAATATTTTATTTATTATTTTTATGTGTATGAGTGTATTGCCAGCATGTATGTAAGTGCACCCATGTTGTGCAATACCAGAAGAGGTCAGAAGAAGGTGATTGGATTCCCTTGGACTGGAGTGACAAACAGTTGTCAGCCACCATGCGGGTGCTGGGAATCCAACCCAGGTCCTCTTCAGGAGCAACCAGTGCTCTTAACTACTGAGCCATCTCTCCAACCCCAGTGAACCTGTTTCTTAAAAGCCAGTCTCTATCATTCTATCTCTGTCTCTCTCTGCATGTTTGTGTGAGCTGAGAAGCTTTCTTCGATTCAGACTGTGCCTGTACACACACACACACACACACACACACACACACACACAAAGAAACACACCCTGTTGGTTCTGTTTCCCTGGAGAACACAGATGCAACAAAAATGTTGACAGTTGTTAGCTGGGAGATGATGAGTCTCTGGATGCTTGTTAAATTACCCTTCTACTTTTTAAATGTGCATGAGTTTTAAAATCGCTTCTTTAAGATTAATTGAACAGACAACCTGAGAACCATTTAGGGGAAGTGTTGAGGCACTTAATCACTAAGTTTCATTTGAGACAGCTCTCTAATAAGGAAAGAACAAGCAGGGTGAGACTGATTTGAGTTCTCCATCAGGGAAACTTAATTATTCTGGATCATTCTTCTAGCTGCTGTATCTGCTCCAGCCTGTGGGACGGAGGAAGCGGATAAGGGAAGGGGAGGGGGCACTGCACAGAGAACAGATTAATTCCAAAGACAGTGTTATTGCTCTGGGCAGGAGCGTCAACTGGGAGAGGATGCTGCAAGTCAGACAGAGGGGCCTCATGGCCTAGAGGACAAAAGGCTGTGACCCAGGGGTTGGGATGTGGTGATCCCTCAACAACTGTTTGGTATGACCGTGGTCAAGCTGCTTGGTTTTCAGTCTCAGGTGTTACCTAAAAAAATAGGCCTGGTTAACATCACTCTAAACTTCACCTCGATGGTTGGCATGCATTAAATTCTTCTCATTCAATAATTTATAAAAATATGTGTGCATAGGATTTTATTTTTCCTCAGTTCCTTGAGAGGAAATGGGCTCAATTCTCTGGAAGGAACTGGACTCTGCTTCTTGCCAGGAAGCAGGTTCATTAGCTTTGAAGCCCCCAAAGCAAGACTTAGCATTTACTTTAGCCAGTTCTTATCTCATAATTGTGAGCAATTCAAACTTATGAATTTTAAATTTTCAAATTTAATTATTGCCACAACTCCCGCTTAGCACCCCCACCCCAATGTGGTATAATATCCAAAGGTATATCATATTTAAAACATATTTTAAATATTAAAAATATGTGTCTTTCACCACTAGACAACTAGACCCTGCAAGGCCACCAACTGGCTGTGTTACCTCAGGCAAATTAATTTAACTCTGTTTTTTTCTTCCTCTGTAAAACAAGCATTGAATGAAGAGGTTCCCTCTAACTGTAGGGAGCTTATTGATTTTCATGCATTTGGCAGTTTTGCCTGGTTGAAAGAGAGTCATTTTCACAGACTATTCAGTTAGACTTGAGTTTAGCCAGTCACCTTTTTCTGCCTATAGAGCTATAAAGGAATCAAGACAACACAACACACAAAACCTGGCAACACACATACACAAAAGGGTACTGGAAAGAGGTGAGCTGCTTCAAGCCCTAGCTCTTTTGTAGACACAACCCTCAGGAAGTCACAGCCCCCACAGTCTAAAGAATGCCAGGCCCTGTGGACTATCTGCACATTCCAAGCAGATTCCCCTTGCATACCCCTGCAACCATAATGTAGCTCTCTGCCATGTTATGTTAGATGCCAGGCTCTTAACAAACTCCCCTCCCAGAATCTCTCACGAACCAGAGAGGATTGCAGTGCTTTCTTTTCCCTGCACCTGCAGACAGGCTTGAGCATTGGGACAGCTTGGGCTGGCATTTGAAGACATCCTGGATGCTGATGCTTTTGCCTGGTTGCTAGGAAACTGTGACTGGATGAAAATAATGTTTTAAAAATACTCTCCTGTCCCCTCCCATATACATGCCCATCCTGAAAGGGCTGTGTGTGTCACATATTTGAGACAGGATTGTGATCCTGACCTGAAGTTCACATATCTTTTTACCCAAGTAGGCTTAGGTGTTCCAGCTAAATGATTAATCAGAAAACAGAGATATTGGGAGGAGGCCAGTTCCCCAGGCTTTTCTTTTTCTTTTTCTTTTTTTTTTTTTTTTTTTTTAAAACAGCATTTGGTTGCAAATTTAGGGGGCAGATGAT